GAGTCCGAGGTGGATCTGAGATGGACCTGAGATGGAGTCCGAGACAGAGTCCGAGATGGACCCAAGATGGAGTCTGAGGTGGACCCGAGAGGGACCTGAGATGGATCCGAGATTGAGTCCGAGACGGACCCGAGATGGAGTCCGAGATGGACTGAAACAGAGTCCGAGATGGAGTCCGAGGTGGACTGAGATGGAGTCCGAGATGGAGTCTGAGATGGAGTCCGAGGTGGACCGAGACGGAGTCCGAGATGGAGTCCGAGATGGACCCGAGATGGACCCGAGATGGAGTCCGAGATGGAGTTCGAGATGGACCCGAGATGGAGTCCGAGGTGGACCGAGACGGAGTCCGAGGTGGAGTCTGAGGTGGATCTGAGATGGACCCGAGATGGAGTCCGAGATGGAGTTCGAGGTGGACCCGAGAGGGACCTGAGATGGATCCGAGATTGAGTCCAAGATGGACCCAAGATGGAGTCCGAGATGGACCGAGACGGAGTCCGAGATGGAGTATGAGGTGGACCGAGACGGAGTCCGAGATGGAGTCTGAGACGGAGTCCGAGATGGAGTCTGAGACGGAGTCCGAGATGGAGTCTGAGATGGAGTCCGAGGTGGACCAAGACGGAGTCCGAGATGGAGTCCAAGATGGACCTGAGATGGAATCCGAGAAGGACCCGAGATGGAGTCCGAGGTCGAGACCGAGACCGGGGCCGAGACCGAGACCGAGACCGAGACCGAGACCGAGATCGGGACTGAGACTGAGGCCGAGGCCGAGTCTGAGGCCGAGTCCGAGTCCGAGTCTGAGGCCGAGTCCGAGTCCGAGTTCGAGTCCAAGTCCGAGTTCGAGTCTGAGAGGGTGAAAGCCCAAAGCGTTTATCTCCCAGACCCTGGGGGGTTTGGTGAGCTCTAAAAGTATAGTAGACTACAGTGGAGCCAGTTTGGCCAGAAAAGGCCAGTTTGGCCTAGAAAGGCTGTACCCAGTGTTGGGTGATGAGCTGCCCACTAGGAAGTCCAAGACTAGGGTGAACACAGACCGACAAGTGGGGTAGCTTGGTGAAGTGTTCAAGAGCCAACTCTAGTTCCCCTGGGAGATCGATTGGCCGATGCTCCCAGCCCAAGTGTGGGTAGCACTACCTACTTAGATACCAGACGTGGCTCAACGGAACCTCGCTCTAAGCCCATGGCTAGAGCACCTAAATGCGGAAGGTGGGGAGAGTACCCATGAGGGCTGCATAGGGCCACAGTGTTCCGAAATATTGTCCCAAAGTCCCAGACTGTGTAAAGGAAGAGGAGTAGCCCTCTGGTGTGGTGACCAAGGACACAGTCACACAGTGAGGAAGTCCTAGAGGACAGTGAGACTTAGTGGTCAGGCTCGTGGGCCTTGATCCAGTGGTAGTGTTGGCGAACACGGCCCAAGACAGAAAGGGACTTGGTGGGGACCGGAAAGGGGATATTGGGGAAGGCTATTCCTCATGTCTAGGGGCATCCTAAGGATGCTAAGGAGTGGATCTAGGATGATCACTCATGGACGGATGGCCCAGTCTTTGACAGACGGGACTGTGATGTAGGTGGTGTCAGACCACTGATGTGACCAAGGTGAATGGGCATGGCCTTAGCGTAACAGGCTGATATGACAGTGGTACCTTGGGGTGTCGGTCATGGGATCGGACACGTGGAGCACTTGGACCAAGTGCAAAGGTTGAATGGCGGGGATGCTGTTCTCGGGGCTAGCAAGCCCAAGTCTGAAATAGGACTTAAAGAGGTTGTGAGTGAAACTCCTCCAAGTGGTCAGAGGTGTGGTTAAGTGACTAAAGTAGAATGGAAAATTTAGTCGCTTACAACTCAACCAAAATCTGTTTGATGAGTTTGTCAACACGAGGAACCACTACATATCCCTTCTTCACCAGCATTCCATCTTGTATCCCAAATGATGCAAACTTATCACCCTTCAAATTTATAAAGGTGTCCCTCAACAAAACCTTTGTGCAAATATTAGTGATAAATGAGTCAAACTCAATAAATTCTTTAAACTCATCCAAGAGATCAGCTAGCTTCATGAATGAGATAGAATTTACCATCCTAAATAATGCATCAACCACCTTACTATCACCTCCATGCTTATACTGGATCTTAATAGACATTTACTTTTACTAATGAGCAAAGCAGCCTCAAAGATCCTTTTGTCAACTAAAATACTGGAGAGATTGATGGTTTGAATTCAATGGAAGTTCGATTCATATAGACAATGCTACCATTCCTTCACAGCAACAATCACAACATACAACTCCTTATCTCAAGTAGGCCAATTCCGTTGTGTAGCATCAAACTTATGGCTTATATATGCAAGAGGATGCTCAACTTGAAGCAAGATGGCTCCATTAGTAATGTCATTTGCATCTATCTCAACCACAAGAGGCTAAATATGGAAGATCCACCACAACAAATGCTTGAGTTATATCCACGATGGATTCCACCACATTCACCTTAGAATTTGTTAACCCCTTTAGAACAATCCTTGCCCTAATGTCCAACCTTGTGGCAATGAAAAAAATGACCCTCCACTTTGTCCTTCTCTCGCTAGGGCAAATAATATCTTTTGGCCTCATTCCATCTCCACTCTTTGAGCCAAAACAACAGCCGTTTCTTCCCGAAGATGAAGTATTGGTGGGTTGGTCATCATGTTGACTACCCCATAGACCATCCTGTTGACCAAGGTTGACCAATTTGACTGATGGTTTGGGCAAAAAGATCTAAGCCTTAGTGATGGCATCAATCAATGTTGCTAGAAAATCTTTTTTGACCTTTTGCTACACATCCATTTAACTCAATTTGATGAAACATTGCACCTTTAGTAGCTCATTATAGATGCCCATAAGACTAAGGCAAAGATCATAGAACTTGTGGGCATACACATCCAAAGACAAAATCTCTTGTGGAATCTCTAACAACTAGTTCATGAGGTTAACCTCTTCAAACTTCTTGACAAATGAAGTGTGGAAAACCTTTGTCAAATCACTCTAAGAAGTCGGCTTTGAATTAGCTTTGATGTAGTTCTTTCACCACGAAAAAGCATGACCCATAAGCTTCATTACAAAAAAATCAATTTTCACTTTATCCTCACAAGGATTGTGAGACCAACAACTTTCCCATAATTCCAACCAAGAATCAACCTCTTGGTTATCACAAGCATCTAGTGATGACTTCCATTCCATGATACCATAATCTTTGGCATGTTTGATATACCAATGGTAATTATAGATATGAGATTGATTCAACCTTTGAGGGTCCATACGAAGCAAAAAATCCTTAATGAGATTGATCAAATCCTTAACCTCCTTAATGTCATTCTTAACCTCAGAAATCAGGTGTTCTTGCCACACAACAACATCAACAAGAGTCTCTTCCTAATCATCATGGCCATCATCACTAATGCCATACTCCTCATTAGGATCAATATCTTGCTCATTTGCCATCCCTAAAAGAACATGCTGCTTTGATACTAATGAAACAAACAATGGAGTGAACCCAAGACCAACCTCCCAACCCTTAATGCATTATGGCCTTAAATCCCCCAGGCTATAAAATATTCTTGGAATATTCACATAAGCTCCAAGCTTTCAACAAAAATCAGAGGGCTAGAGATGCAAAAGGAGATGCATGGCATAATGGTTAAGATGTGTGGGCATGTTAAGGCACTTGAGGCTAGAGGTGGTGTGCCCCATATAAGACTTCTTTGGTGGATCCACTCAAGATTCCAACTTTTTCCAGTGCTAGCGGCATGAATGAGTGTCTAACTTGGCTAGCCAATGTGAAGAAATTCTTGGCTGTCAAAGGAACTCTAAATGCAAAGGCTTTACTTAAATCTGAAAGCAGCTTCACATGAGTTTTATCTTTTGTTTTAATACTGACAGAGTGATGTATTTCCTATAGTTAGAAGTCACATAGTTTACATATATCTTTGATCTTGCTCTAGGATTTTTCTGCATTTGTATTATCTTAATCCTTGAGAGTTGCTATGTATACATAAGGAAATATCTGGTTAGTCAAAATGGTATATTAGGTATTTAAAATAAAAGGATTTAATGGTTTCTAAATAATACACAGTTGACTGTCATATTTGTGAGAATGATACAACTCTACTGAGAAAGATTCAAAATAACATTTTTCAAAATTTTTATATTAGATATTTTGAAAAAAAATTAGTATACATCTAAAACCTTATCAACCAGAACATGTTTCAGCAATGGATCAGACATTTTATAAATTATAATATATAAAATAACTACTATGAAAATGAAATATAAAATATTTATAAATAAAAACTTAGAATAAGGAGAAGGAAAGTTCATAGAAATAAGATTTTAAAATGTTTAAAATAATGATTTGTATAAGCTTCTAAAAAAGTGATTTAGGCTAAAAAGTAGTAGAAATTAAATATCCAGATTTATAAGAATAATGTTGACATAATAAACTATTATTCATTAGGATTATAATTTTAATATCGTGCCTGGAAGCTGTGATTTCTAAAGCTTTAGGAAAGTTTAAAAATTTTATCAATTTATTTTTAAATGTAAATACTAATAAGAAATTATATAAATGAGAATATATTTATAAATATACTTTATGGAGAAAATTACAGGTTTAAATATAAACTTAGATCTGACACTTTGCTATGCTTGGAATCTATCCAAGATCTCTTTGCACTTGAGATTAATTGCTGAGGGCTCTAGAGGTGTCACTGCATATAGGACGTAGCATATTGGAAGAGCTGTTAACACCTGGAAAACAATTATCTTGGAACCTATAAATTATATGAGGCACAAAATATACGATGTTCAAATATCCTATGAGCTTAGTCCCCTCCTAACTGCCAACTTCATGCCAGTTTGGCAGCAATAGTCTCCAAAGTACTTGGACAACATTTTTGCTGCATCAACACAGAGTTCCAAAGCTACTATTGGTTTCCGGACCTTGCCATAGACACCACATTGTTACGTGGAATCCCGTCAAAGACTCTGACGAGCATCTACCACACTCTGCACTTGAGATACATCTCCACCAAGCTGCTCAACACAAATATAACTTGGTCACATCCATGGCTGGCTGCCTGAGGGTGGATCACTCTTCCTTTCTCCAACGATCTTTTCTTCATGCCACCTTGCAACCTTTTCTCTTGCGGCCTTCTTCTTTCACTGCTAAGCCAGTGCACACCTTGATCGCAGCTACAAAAGTTTGATCTCCTGGATCACAGCCTTCCAGCTGCATCCAAGTAAAGCGCTCCAATCCAATTGCTAACTCCCCGTTTTGCATGTAGCCAAAAACCACGACAGTCCACGAGACCACATTGTTGCATTGAATCTTGCCAAAGACCCAAAGAGCATTCACCAAGCTCCCACACTTGAGATACATATCCACCAAGCTACTTGCTCTCGACAGCCCACTGGGCCACGGCAGCATGCCCAGTCTCGGACCTCGGACTCGTCATCCGACTCCGAGATGGGCTAAATAGCCATGAAGATATCTTCTTCCAATCCATTCTTCGCACCCAGGCAATGGATTTCTACCCCGTTCTCTAAGCAGCTCTTTCTCAAGCTCTCGCAATCCTATCCCTTGGCAGCCAGATTCCAGCGGGCCGTAAGCACCACGAGGGTAGTCGATCAATCCAGAGAACTGGAGCAGTGCTGGAGCTCCGACTGGCCATGGCGTCGAAGACCTGGCATTGGATTAAATTACATTGTCATGGATGATCCTTCCTCGCTGGAGATGCACACACTTCCGCATTCCTTGAGCACCAGAAGCCTGATAAGAACTAAAGCGAGGGACAATGTAATCAAATTCTAGGGTTTTTCTTCTTGATCCAGCAAGCGCCCAGAGATGTGGATGACATCTTGTCTAGCATCCGGCTGCACGGCTTCGCTTGCCAGGCTTGTAAGGGATTAGCGAGCAGCATCTCTGATCGGCAAGAATCATGTATAGCAGCCTCTTCGCGCTCTCCTTGCTGCTCGCATGGATGCTGCGTGACCTCACGTGGCCAATCCTGGAGAAAATCCTGTGTAAGTTCTTGCACTTTACGACAACAACTTTTTGTTTTGCTTGTGGCAGGGATCAATGATTGGCTTGGCACACAAGCTGTTCTACGCGTGAGCTTTGGGAGTTTCTTCTTCTTCATTGAATTAGCACTGCTTATGTTTGGAGTTAAGTACCAAAGCAATCACAGGGACTCATGGCATCAATGATCAACCTTATCATCTGGTCTGGTCTCACTGTGCTTGGCCTCATCCTTCTTCCCAACGACATTGTGGATGCTGACAGTAAATCTAGTGCTTCTTTCTTGGAATTACAACCATAGTTTCTTTGTTCTTCTGGCAGGAAGACTCTCGACATACAACTGGAACACTGCATGGATTGCCAAAGAGAGTAAGTTCTAGTAATGTTCTTCCTCGTTTCTTTTCCTCTTATACATATAACAAGATTCACAGTTCACAGGTATAATCCCTTGCTTGCTGTGTCCTTAGTGTGCTACATCATGCAGGACATCTATACAAGTGGTTCAATCCTGCTTATCAAGATTGCGAGCTCAATCTCTTCTTTATCACGAGCTCGCTATCTCTCGGCATCGCATTCACTGCTATCTCTGTGCATCCTCAGGTAACTTTTAAGCTGGAGCTTTTCTTTTGAGTGTGAAGGATGGTTTTTTTGTTCTTTTTTGTTCCAGGTGAATGGGCGGTGATAGTGCCTGCTTCGGTGATAGCGCTCTACTGCATGTATATATGCTACAGCGCATTGTCAAGACTACGATTGCATCGGAGTGCCCAAGCATGCCGAGGTGGTTTTTATAAACACACTCGTCATGGGAATGGCCACCCTGCTTATCTCCGTGATATACTCCACGGCTTGAGCAGGCTCTCAACCACTTTCCTGTCACCGCCAGCTCCTCCTCACAATGCAAAGGAGCTTCTAGAAGAAGAATTGAGTAGAAAAACTCACAAAGTTTCTCTAACACCTTTACTCTCGAGGAGAAATTTCAAAAACAACCACAAACTAAGTGGCACTGGATCTGAGCACGACTTCCACGAAGCAAAGAAACAGTCCCAACACCGTCACGTATGTTTACTTGTTCTGTTATCTTGTCTTTGCCCTTGCGAGCATGTACTCGGCTATGTTGCTCACCAGATGGGGAAACCCTGAAGACGGATGCTATCGATGTTGGCTGGCATTCGGAATGGGTCCGGATTGGCACAATGTGGTTCACAGCGGCACTATACATTTGGTCGCTCATAGGTCCACTCATTCTTCCAGATCGAGACTGCATGCAAAGTAAGCAGATATCATTGTAAAGTAGTGTTGTAAATTTGAAGAAATTAAAAGTCTTTGGTTGGAATCAAATTAAGAGTTTCCACCATCTAGTGTTGAAGATCGATTGCCTGTATGGAAGAATGAGGAACAAAAAATGATTGAGTTTTTCTTAGTTTTTACCTTGTTCCTGCATAGAAGGTGAGTTGGATCTCATACAACTTTTTAGATGCCATGTCTCTGGAAGGTCATGTGCACAATCATCTTCAACCTGTGAAATCACACAGTCAGAACAAATGCACCATGAAAGGTGATAAGAGCTTATGTTTATGTGACTAACGGATCATGCGGTTGAAAGGCTACTTGCTGGTGCTGCAGTGGCGGTGGCAGATGCTGAGGTTGAGGAGATGTCACAACCACAAGTGCTGCTGGTTCTTCACAGAACCTGTTGATCAAAGATCATTCTCAACGCACGTCTTTTCAGCTTTCAGTTAACTCACAGAGCTAGTGATTGTCTAAAGCAGCATTTTATCAATCCCAGGATAGTCTCCAACACTCAGGAACTTCTTATGTATCGTGTGGTCAATTTCCTGATGCTTTGCAACATGGTGCCCTTGCTTGGATCTATAGCTGCTACTATGTCACCATGGATCTGGGATCGAGCATTGTTGATCTTGATCATTTTGATTATGCAAACAAAGGAGCCAATAAATAGGATATGGATGTAGGCCAATCTACTGGTCTACATCAGATTTCTGTTGGCAGCTGCAAGCCAAGGACATGCACCTTTCCATTATAGCAATGGCACTTCCAGACTGAAATATGGTTTGATAATGTCTCTCGCTTGTTACTCTCGGGAAAGCACCTTCCTTGGTAGAGACTCTCTTTTGTTCCACCAGAGGCATCCAGTAAAATAATTCTCATGTCCATTACACAGGCTTTCTTTCCTTCGCTGCTGCCTGCAAAAATTCTGGAAAGAAATATAACTTATGCCATAGCCATAGATCGTGAATGAAGCAAAAATGCTACTTTCTTCCTCAAGAATAAAAGAACTTTCACAATCTGCCACCACAGTCTACCCTAAGAGATAACAACCCAAAAGGTGATTTCAATTGTCACTACCTCTTTGCCACATGTAAAAAATTGTAACCCTCCTTTTGGAGAGTCACAAATCTAGTCCTGCTGATTAGGAGCATCCACCATAAGTAAAATTGGATATTCTTAAAATGAAATAAAAAACACTAGATGCCATATGCTAATAGCACTTTTAAACAAGGGAGTACTAACACAGTGCCCAGCTCCACTAGAAGAAATAACATCTTTTTAACAATTTCTAGAATATGAAAATACATGTACCCCTCTAGGAAAAGTAGCATTTAAAATTGTAGTTATTCCTTTATGGTTACATTACAGCAAACAGAATGGTAAACTTATTTAATACATTAATTAAATATATTGATTAGAGGAGATGCGAAATACAAAAATATAAAAGTTATAAACTTTTCTATTTTGAAGTACTCTTAATTATTCACAGTTTATTAAAAACATATCTATTTTGACTGATTATGTTTCTTATATCTTTGTTATAATCTCGAATATCTTAAGTTCTTTAAAATTATTTTGAATTAAAATGAACTGTAGAAATGTCAATAAACAACTCCACATTAGATTCTCAGAAAGAAGAGACCTCTTTGATCATACTTAATTATATATTATAATTGGAAAGAATAATCTTCTTTATGTACTTAGTATTATTACTATTGAGGAACATGCAAGCTCACATTTTTCTAGCTAAGGACCCAAGGTTCCTACACACAGCCACTTAATATGAAATATTCTATAGAAATTGACCAAAAAAGAAATAAATTAAGAATTAATTATAAATAAATTCTACTGTCAAACTGTAAATCCACTATAAAAATCATATAAAGCTTAAAACAAGACAAATTCCTCTTCACAAAGCTAGTATAAACAGTGAATTCAATTGTGATGCTAGGGAGTATATAGAGTTAAAACTCACTCAAATTCTTTTAGAAATTAAAAGGAAAAAGCATGATAAATATTTAACTTTCAAATCTGTACAACCACAAAAAACACTCATGTAGTTGTGAAAATTAATAAGCTTTTCTTTAGTTATCTATGCTAGTTCATCTCGCTAGTAGTCAATTTAACCTAATATAGTTAATATTAGTTACATCCTCTTTCTTTAATTTTGTCTTAGAGCAGAGCATTTAATCAAAAATTTGCAAGAGAACTCTTATAGTCTATGGTGTTATCATTGAGCAAGAGGCCATATTCATATTGAACTCTAGCACCATTAAAATGGTACTGTTACACCTTTGATCCTTACCTTGCTCAAGATGTATATAAAACTTTACTATAGAGTTTAACTCTTTGTACCCAGCCACAAAATCTAAAATCTGTTAACACCCTAAAAGTGTTAAATGGTTTAAGGAAATGGCATTTACAGCACAAATATAGTATTTGATTGATTTAATGTTTTTTCAATAACTTTATAAATATATATAATTCAACTTAAATTTATACTTAAATAGCTGATTAAAGAGAAAAATTAGATTTTACTCAAAACCCTTTACTTTATTATTACCTCTGGAATAATATCCTTCTAATAAACATAATATTTCATGTGCTCCCATAAGAGTGATTAGCTTTCATGCATTTCCTATTCTCATTGGTTGCAACACAACTAAGCTTGGCTCAAAAGCTTTAAACCCATGTTTGGTCGCTGAGATGTTGTTAAACCTCTATTGATTCAAAACAATCTCTAATATTGTAGAAACAATTTGAAGAACACATAGTTATATTACAAGTTATATTTAAATAGTTGATTAAAGAGAAAAATTAGAAGGTCCTTTTACTCAAAACCATTTACTTTACTATTACCTCTGGAATGAGTGAGTGGCACAAAACAATCCTCTTGATTCATAATTTTAGAAAAAATTTGAAGAACACAGAGTGAGAAGGATGTAAGCCAGTCTACTGATCTGCCTCACATTTCTGTCTGCAGCTCTGACTTAAGGATAAGTATGCACTTTCATTACTCAATCTAAATATCAGCATGGAAGCTCCATTGGAATTTCACTGTAGGATGCATCTTTGGTCACCAAATAAAAACTACTTTTCTCATACACTTTCTGGCCAACCAAACAAACAGAGCGAACCTCTCCTTCACGTTGTTTATGAATGCAAGAATGCAATTCACACAGTTTGTGAATATTGTGTTCTCGGTTTCAGTAGTGTTGAAAGTATCTCTGACAACCTTCTCCAATACAAGATGTACAATGCTTCTATCTCTATCTGTCGCGGCAGTAAGTAAAGACTTGTAATTGATAAAGGATTGACCCTAAACCTTGACTCTGAAAACTTTGTTACAATAAACGTAATTTTCCAGCCAGATTTCATGTTGCACACCATTTGAGAGACACAACGGATGATAAATTCTCGTATTTCAACAGAGGCATTTCTCTGCATGATGATGACAAAAGCTGCAGAGAGTCCATGGTATACATAGCAACTGAGAAATTGCTTGAACACCCAACAGTAACAAAATAGTCAGACAATGTAATCCACATCCTGCTCCAGACCAGCTTGATCCGATTCATATTGAAGTGCCTATACAACAAACAAGTGAATACATCACATCAAATCACTTACACAATTCCTTCACTACTTAAGGCCTGTCTTCGAATAAAAAAATTGTTAGCTTCGTTTGAATCAATTTGACCAAGCAAACTGAGATTTGAAAAGAGATTACTCATTTTCTCTGCAGTGACTGCACCAGGTATTGGGCTCTGCCTACCACCAATACTGCCGTATGGTCCTCAACGTGCAGCTAGAGCAGCAAAATGCAATCTT